GGGGAGGTAGAAAAACAGAAAGGTTTCCTTTTCAAAAGTCTATATACTTGAGAAGTCTTTTCTTCGCGAGAGGACATTCTCAAGATGGCACAAGGATGTTCAATCGTAAAAGAATAGCCTGGAAACGTCGAAATGCTTTTTCTTCGATTGTCTGGTTATGGCGGAATTGGAAATGATCCGCATGCAAAGAAGCTGAAAGCTTCGTTTATATTGCTCGAGCGATGCGAGAGAATCCAACAAATTCAAAATGGACTTCCTCCCTCGTAGACGCTCCGTAGAAGCTGGTCTGCATGTATACAGTCACTGTATACCTAAGCTATCCAGTGGGTGGATGCTGGGCTGCCAGCCGTCAGGTACTCAGATAAGGGAGTAGCCACGTAGAAAATAACATCAGCATCGAACGAGAGGAATACAAGGTTATTCCAGGACGGATGAAATGCCAGAAATGAGACGTCCGCAGTCCGAGGGAGTTTGGCCAGGAATTCGGAAATTCAAATTCGCCAGGGAGTACAGTAAGGGGACCGGTACAGTGGTGGCCGGGTTAAAAATGAAAAAAAATATGGTTTAAAAAAAAGCTGTCACGAGGAAAGAATGATGTTTCAAATCCATGGACGTTTTCGGGAAGCATGGAAAATATTTGAAATATCGCAGTCCAATACATTACTGGGAGGGGGGGTGGGAGATTTTAATAAAACATACGAGCATTGACCGGAAGCCGCACGTACCCAGCGGGCTTTTGCTCGTTCATCCAGGCTGGACCACGTTGCCAACCTCACTGGCAATAGATAATCTCTCTCTCTCTCTCTCTCTCTCTCTCTCTCTCTCTCTCTTTACTCCCTTTCTCGAAAATTTCGTTCTACAGACCTCGGCCGTCGCCTTCATTCGTATTCCCGGAAGGACACGCCATTGGCCAGTGTAATTGGTGCGCTTTGCACTGTCGCTCCACTGGAAAGCCTCCCTTCGTTCGCAGATTCCCAAATTCAGCAACGGCCTGCAGTGCGCTGATCCTCGCCTCAGTATTTCATGAAATTCCCGAGAACTTGATCGGACGAACGAGGCTCGATGAGCTATGTGGAAATTGGCCCGAAAGACAGGAGTGCCGCGTGCAGGTTGGCCGACACTGGGCTACCAAATCGCAAATCGGACGGGAATGGAGTCCTGCTGAAAGCACGAAACTTTTGCGTCGCTAAGTTCGTTAGAGGCACTCCGGGGTTTCGGTCTTTTTCGTCTTATCGGGTCGCGACGCTCTCGGGAAGACGATGCAGCTTCGAGACTCCGACTAGTTTGGGAACTCATTTCCGAGCATTTACGCTTGTTGCTCGACAACTCGCGCAGATGGCGGAACTTCGGGGGGCCAATTGCGAAATAATAAATAAATTGCGCCCCTGGACCAACCTACCACTCGGCCTTCCCACAATTTTCCTCGATTCTCCCGGTACCTGTTTCATCGTACTTTAAACTGACTTTGACTGGATACCCAAGAGACACGAGGATGGACCAAGATGAAGGAAGATGCTGCACCGAGTGCTCGCATCCCTTTCCTCGGATCTGTATTCCTTTTATCCAGCTTTACTTACGTTACTCGACTTGGTTTTTTCTTTTCCTTCGCCAAATAGATACCGACCAGAGGAGGAGATACCCGTTCGCTGCCGCAATCCGAATCAGATTCGGTCCTTCGATTCCCATTAAATGAAACTGCGAATCCAAGACCCGATGCATTATCCATCTCGACGGTTGGTAATGGACCTCGGTATACCTCCTGTTCCCCAGCTAGAGTTTCCCCTGACTGCAGCCACCTTCGTTCTGTTTTTTTTCTCCATCCTTTCATTCTTTCCATCCGAACCAGCCGCTCGGAAAGGAGCAGCGAAACGCGAGCGAGAACTAATTATTTTTCATCCCCGTATCGGGCGGAAGGGCCCGACGACTCCTCCGAGAGGGTTGCAAGTAGAGGCGGGCGGGGCTCCCTC